GAAGCCATAGACAAAATATTTGCCAATACATTGATTGAACACCCTACAGCACAGGCCCTGTCATCCGTGATAACTGAGACAAAAATGAGCAAGACATGGTTAAAACGATCTGTTGAAGCTCGGATCAATGCTGCACAAAGAGAGGATAATGACATGCCAGAAATAGTGGCGGAGTTGGAGAAGTATGCCGAGGACACAATATCAACCATGTTGTACTTGACACTTCAATCTGGTGGTATCATGTCTACTGCAGCTGATCATGCAGCCTCTCATATTGGCAAGCTTAGTGGTATTCTTTTGCTGCTGAAGTCATTGCCCTATCATGCTAGTCATCGCCGACATTTTTCTTATATACCAACTGCAGTAGCATCCAAGCATGGGCTAATAGTTAAACAGGGTGGTAGAGAAGAGACAAAGTTGGACTCTCGTGAAGGTCTTTGCGATGCAGTTTTTGAAATGGCATCAATAGCCAATGCACATTTGGAGAAGGCTAGGAAGTTAGGTAAAAGTGTGCCTGTTGAGGCTCTTCCAGTGCTGCTGTCGGCTGTGCCTACTCAGGTTCTCTTAGATTCTCTGAGACGGGTGAACTTTGATGTGTTTGGTCCGTACTGACTTACTGACTCACTAACTTACTAACTGACTTAATGACTCACTAACTTACTGACTTACTAACTTACTGAATGACTGACTTATTGACTCACTAACTTACTGACTGACTTACTGACTTACTAACTAACTTACTAACTTACTGACTTACTGAATGACTAACTTATCGACTGACTTACTGATTCACTGACTTACTAACTGACTTATTGACTGACTTACTCATTGAATGACTAAGTAAGTCATTCTTTAAGTATGTCAGTAAGTCAGTCATACAGTAAGTGAGTTAGTAAGTCAGTTAGAAAATAACTTAGTCACTCAGTAAATCAGTCAATAAGTCTGTCATTTAGTAAGTAAGTACATCAATAAGTTAGTTAATAAATCAGTCAGTAACTCAGTGAGTCAGTCAGTAAGATAGTAAATAAGTCAATAAGTCAATAAGTCAGTAAGTTAGTCAGTAAGTAAGTGGGTTATTAAGTTAGTCAATAAGTGAGCTAGTAAGTCAGTCAGTAAGTGAGCAAATAATTCAGTTAGTAAGTAAGTCAGTGAATAAGTATATAAGTAAGTCAGTTAGTAAGTGAAGAAGTGATTGCTAAGTAAAGTACTTCTTTGATTATGAGGGATTCATCCATAAAATAATATACTAGGAAGAACCAGGTGGTATAAAAATGTGTAAATATTTTTAGCAATTATTGTTTAGCCATGTATTAGGCAAGGCAAATTAATAATTAAACATGATTAGACACTTAAACGTGGAGCTAAGTTGTTCTTTGATTCCATTCAGACAAAAACATGGTTAGACGAGTGATAATACTTTGACCAAGAATTGAATCCCTCACCTTAGTTTAAGTTTGATGTAGAACATTTCACTTTAGTTGCTACCAATTAAATAATATGATTTAAATAAAAATTAATCATTAGATTTATTTAACATCTAAAAAGTTGTCTTATTAAGTATCTAATATCAATTACAAAACAATGTTTTATTTATAATGAAGCACATGGTGTATCCGGAGAGGTGTCTCTTTCGAATTGCCCTGGGGCGGTTGGTGGGCCCTGCTCGTGGAAGCTTTACGAACAGAAATAATAATGCGATACAGATAAAAAATAACCTTCAAATATCGCAGACCAACCTACCAAGCCCGCGTGCAGTTGCTGCAACTGAAAAATAATTATTATTATCTTTTTATACCATAAGAAACATTATTTTCTTCCAAAAAAACCGTTAATTAAAATGATACACATGTTGTCTTGTTTCTTTATCGGCAAATGCTGTCTTGTTGTTACAAATTTATTAGCTGCAATGGACAGCTGGTGTTGGTCTGTTTTCTTTATAACAATGGATACTCAAACCTATAATGCTCAATGGTAACATCCACAATGGTTTGGTTTGTATTCCTTTTTATGGACTTGACAGTAATAGGGTCTGAACATTTTAAAACCTATTACTCAACGATTCTTAATAACATGGTAATAAATGTGTGACTATACAAACCCACAATTCATACATCCTTAAATATATATTCACCCTGGTATAACTAAAATATATGTTTATCATATTAATCATTATTATATTATGTTGTTAATTTATAATTGTGATGTTGTAAACTATCCAGTTTGTGCAAGATAATTTTTGTATCGTAATATTAAAATATTGATTTTTTTTACCTTTTTATTTATTGAAAACAGTTATGTTTATTGGCCATTTAAAATATTTTATTATTCTTCAATTACAATTTATAATTGTAGGAACCAATAAGTGCACTATTGCAAGTTGCTTACAATTAATTTTTTAATATTTTTTAAATTTATGGGGAGACAGTATTTATATATAAGATGGGATAGAACGAGTTTAAATATGAATAAGTGAGGCAAGCCCAAATACTTCACTACCCGAAATTATCGAGATTCATTGTCATCATATGTAAAAATAACAAATGATAAACCAAATAAATTTAGGGCTTTTATAAGATAATAAATGGAATGGAAATGTTTGCGATTAGATTACTTTGAAATTTTTTCTTTTCTTTTGTTTCTTTTCAAAAATCATCACCATTAGACAAAAAACATAACTTTTTTGTTTATTTGAAAAGAAAGATCCAATGCACAAACAAATACTTAGATAAACAAGTCTTTAAATAGAGCTGGAATGAGATGGTAAACAATCAAACAAAATGCATTCTTCTATTATAATGCAACAATATGAGCGAAGCAAAATATTGGATTATTCAATTCTATACATTATTCTACTTTTTCATTAATGAGATGAAAAATTCAACTGGAAAAAATATAGAATAAAAAATGTTTCAGTACTGTAGGTAATTAACTTTGATGTAGGTGAGTGTGGTAGAAGTTTAGTTCGCCTTTGTGATTAATTATTTAACCTTCCTTGTTACAACTCCATGGGTTATTCCTAATAATTGGTTTCGATCCATCTAGAAGAACTGAGTGACATAACCCCGAGTTGTTATTACCATCATCATATATAACAACTACTATAATTAAAGATATATAAAAAAAAAGGTATACACAATATAACAGTTTTTATTTTTATATAATTATTATATCACCTATCATTCATATTTAATAATCATAACTATTAGATATAAGTAATATGTATAAATGATAAATGATATATTAATATGTATAAATTTTTACACAATAAATAAATATTACATTCATAATTAAATCAAATATGGTTGTGTACACCACTCTCAGCTAGCAAACTAAAGGCAATATCGACTGCAACAGTAGATATATATTATAGAGTAATTTATAAATTAGCATATAGTCTATTATTGGAATTCAAGTGAACACTTTACTGTGTATAAAATACTTTTAAACTTGCTTCTCATAATTTTATATATAATACATATTAGTCCATTCAATGCCTGTGAACAAAGGAGAATTAAGGGTGCAACTTTTAACCAGAGGAATGATGACCTACCATTGGGTCGACACCCTAATGAATAAAGAAAAAAAAATTAAACCTGGATAGAATGCCTCTGTGTAAATAACATTAATTCATATAGGGAACTGTCTATTATTTTAATTTATTTAGAGGATGAATGATAATGTTTTTTTTTTATTTTGACTTGAAATTGAGAATTTGAATTTTGGAAACAACTTTTTAATTTGGAGCTTGAAATAGTTCATGCATTCAAACCTCAAAGTTCATTTCATCCTGTTTAGTTAGAAATTTCTCCAAGTTTAATAGTCATTTGTGAAGTGGTTCACCACAATCAATGAAGGGTTAAAATGTTTAGACTTAATTTTCGATCATTTGAATAATCCTTTGGTTATTTCACTTCGTTTTTTATTTGCTCATTTTTTTTATGGTATATTCTTTCTGTTTTCTGTTATATCCCATTCTTTTACGGTAACTCGCCCTTCTTGTTTTTACTATTCAATTTACTTCAAAAAAACAAATCATAATTAAGTTAAAAATATATCACAATTGTGGCTTGAATATAGTATCTCATACTTCATATAAAATTTTATGAATTGAGTTCTAAGTCTTTATTGTTTTGTAAGAATGACCATTCGTGCTCACCATTGATGTATGCAACATTCTCTCACACTCTTTAATTATCTAACTTTATCTGGTCCCGCACATCATTCTTTTCTCGTCACCATCAATGGCTGGTGGGTGGAGTTAGAGGTTGACATCTCTCTCTCACACAGTTTTAGCGCCTCACTTTCATGAACTCTAAGCTTTTCCACCAATCTAGCTCTACTCCAATAGATAAGGAGAGAGAAACTCTACTGAGGGATGCTTAATGATTTTATTAGGGTTTATTTATTAGATGAAGTTGGATAAAGTATTATCTATCAATTTATATAGGACTGAGATCCTCTTTGGTACTGAATTTATAAATTTGTTCATTTCCTCGCATTCTAGTACTGACAAAAATAATCTCATCTTATTTATATAAAATTCATCATACTTATAAGTTATAACTATTCAATTCACTTATATTTAATTTTAACGGATGAATAAATTTGATGAATTATTAAATTATATTTAAAATCATTCCATTGACTTATATTCAAACTTAACGAATAAAATTGATGGTTGAATATATAGTGAATTTGTTTTTTAAATCAATTTTCATAAAATAATTTTTAATTGCCAAATTTTTATTAGCTCCTACTTTTTGTACTCTTTGGTAGATCAGATCAAATTTTAATGGCTTACTTCTATTATTAGATATGACGAATGAATTTGAATATTCATGTAAGTTGTATCCAATTAAATTGATTAGGTTAAATAGATGGATTTGATAAATTCATTTTATCCTAGACTAGATAGATATATTTGAATTATGGATAGTATTTTAACCCTAATATTTATGTAAAACCGTTCTCTCTCCCTCTTATGCTTTTGCTTCCTATATAACCCTACCTGTCTTCATTTTTCCATTCCTGAACCTTTCTTTATCTTTTTTCCTTCTCTCTCATTAATCCTCGGGATCTCATACTCTCTCTTTTTTTAGTGCAAAAGACAAGGGATATGTGGTTCAGTTCAAATCCCGAGGATCACTATTAATTGCTCTTTTCAATCACGTTCATGTCTTGTCCCCTTGTCCGCTTCTGTTTCTGTTTCTTTGTCTTTGTCTTTGTCTTTGTTTCCGTGTTTTATATACTTTTTTGCTCTTATTAATTAGTTCTGAGTTGAAGAACTCTTATAAAGATTGTTCTTGAGAGGAATCTTTGAAAATATTCTTATATAATATCTTCCATAAATAGCTGCAGAAAGAAGTTGGTTCATCACATCAACAGAAAAGTTATACTTGAAGATCTAGTAGAAGTGATCTTATCTTCTAAGGATCGAGAGCAATATATCAAGGTTGTTCTTTTGCTCATTTGGTTTTGCACCTTGATTCATTTACTTTAGCATACAGTAGTCTTATGTGAGTGTCATTCTCTAAAGGCATTAAATGGTGGTTGATCTATTTTGTATGAATCAGGCCAACTAGCATAAGTCCAAAAAAGGACAACTAAAAGACAGAAATTTAGTCAAATTATGTTGAAAGTCACTTGAATCAAATCTCTGACATGACTTTGATCTCTTTGTTTCAGTTGGAGTTTTATATTTTATTCACACCTACCGCAAAATCATGCGTGTAGTTCCCCATTTTCCAATTTTATTTTGCACCCAACAATATTAATATATCTTTTTTCATATCCTACCTGAAGAAACCATTGTTATTTTCTGCAAGAGATGATATTTTGGCTTTTGAATAATTGGATCCTACGTCATTTTGCCTTCTTTAATTAATATGTTTGGCCATTATGATTTAAGTCATTACGTACAATGTGACTTAGTTTGAGTGCTCTACCAAAATTTCTTTGTAGCTAGGCTATATAGACTAAATGTTAGATGCTATATCATACAAGATCATGGATGATGGTACATGATTGCATTGTACAAAGTGTGCCTTCTCTATCACGTGTCGCAACATTTACTCGCGTGTCATATGAGAAGAGAGTCTATGATTAACCGATAAAGTTTTTAAGTATACCTTTATGTTTGTATGTTAAACTTGTACATCTATATATGATTTGTATGTTCAAAATTTGTTGATTTTCCATATTTTGGATTATATACTTCAGTTGATTATATACCTTTGTGTTTTTATGATTATATTTTGGTTGTTAAATGTTTTTAGTTTCACAATAATATTTGAAAATTTATGAAATTGGTTAACGAGTAATAAATATTTAACACCCAATGTTAAATATATTGATTGCTATTTGCTGTCTTAATTTCGCTTCAAAGACGATCTTAAATTTCAGAGCATGCATACGTAACTTGTACATATATTATCAATTCACCATTGGTTGTTATAGGCTTCTAACATAAGTGATAGCCACATTATTCATAGTATACATTATATGCAGAAGGAAAAGTGCCAAATTTCATGTTGCATATATTACAAGAGAGGTTACCAGATTTATTTTTTTATCTTTTCAAAAACAGGTTTCCAATCTAAGAGTGGATATGAACACTTTTTCACATGTTCCTCCGGGCTTTCGGTTCCATCCAACTGATGAAGAACTTGTTGATTACTACCTTAAGAAAAAAGTAGCTTCAAAAAGAATTGATCTAGATGTAATAAAAGATGTTGATCTCTATAAAATTGAGCCATGGGATCTTCAAGGTATCAGCTAGCCTTTCTAATAACATATATAAGACCCTTATTAGATTATAAAAAAAAACATTAAATACACAAGAACATTTCATGTTGCTAATCCTAACATTTGTTACTTTTGGTAATTGACAGAATTATGCAAATTAGGAACGGATGAACAAGGTGAATGGTATTTCTTTAGTCATAAAGATAAGAAGTACCCAACTGGAACCCGCACCAATAGAGCTACAAAGGCAGGATTCTGGAAAGCTACGGGAAGAGACAAGGCAATATACTTGAAGCATTCACTGATTGGCATGAGAAAGACTCTTGTATTCTACAAAGGAAGAGCCCCAAATGGACAGAAATCTGACTGGATCATGCATGAGTATCGGCTAGAAACTAATGAAAATGGAACTCCCCATCAGGTAATTAGGGCTAGACCTAGCTATCCGGAATAATTTTATTAAGATGTACTTGAATGTACAAAAATTACAAAAGGTGTTTAAAAAAGAGGAATTGACTAAAGAAATACAAGGAGTTGAGATTAAAATGAATGAGTGAGCTTAGGAAATTAATATTTTGTAGACATTCATGAGGATTGACAACTGAGTCGGAGTAGGACATTGTTGATGTGCCATTTTTCAATGATCCAAATTCAAGATTTCACATTTATTGTCTCGACCACCTATTGTACATAGGTCAGAGATGAGTTGAAAATGATGACATCATTCCTAACTAACCATATAGACTAAGTTATAGCTACTCTTATACTCCAAAATTTCTTACACTTTTTGGTGATTGATATGCCCATTTAATGATAAAATTGTTTGTTGGTTCAAGAGAAAGAAAAATACAATAATCCATCCAATTGCAATTGGGAAATTCTTACATGCTCCTACGACAAGATTTTTCCTATCCTATATCATTATTTGAATGTGTGCTTGATTAACTAAAACATGAAACATGTTAAAATTAGTCGTTAGCATGTCACTAGGATTGAATTAGTACTAAAGAATTACTGTAATTTGCATGAGTTCATTTGTTCAAACCATGTTGTCAATGGTATGCCAAAAAAAAAGATTGATGCATGGTTTCCAAAGCTGGTACACAACTACACATGTTATGTATCACTGTCGTACATTGGTATCAGTTGAGTATGAGGCAATACATACATACATATATATATATATATATATATATATATATATATATATATATTCTTTGAGCAAATTATCAAATTTTCCTTGCCTTATGCACATGTGGCCAATTAGTTTATTTTCTGTTGTGCACTATGCAGGAAGAAGGCTGGGTTGTATGCAAAGTGTTCAAGAAAAGAATGACAACAGTGCGGAAAGTTGGGGAATATGAATCACCATGCAGTTGGTATGATGATCAAGTCTCCTTCATGCAAGAACTTGATCCTCGTTCTCACCCTTATGCATCACAACACCAGCACTACCCTTGCAAGCAAGAGTTAGAATTAATGCAATACAATATGCCCCATGATGCTAATTTCCACCAACTTCCACAACTTGAAAGCCCCAAAGTTCCTCAATCTTATGGCTATGATAATGACAATGGAAGTGCTTTGCAGTCCTCATCACTCACTCAAGAAGAACACATACATCATAGCCAACAGCAACAAAATATGCACTTGCTTTATGGTAATACCAATGATCAAGTTATGGATTGGCGAGTACTCGACAAGTTTGTTGCTTCTCAGCTAAGTCATGATGATCAAGAGGTTTCCAAGGAAATAAACTATTCAAATGTTTCTGAACAAATTACTATGCTTGCAAATCGATCCGAAAAATCTGAAATTTGGCAGGACTATGGTTCCACGTTCACCTCGAGTTGCCAGATTGATCAGTGGAAGTGAAAATTTATATATAACTATAGAAGATGCATAATAATCATAGGAAGTAGTGAAGTACAGTGTGATGCTGGAAAAGAAAAAAAATGGTACTGCTCCGAGTTTCTTAGTACATGATAAACCCTAAAGTAATAAATATCCTTACCAGTTGAACCTTTGTTACCGGTGTATCCACTTGTGCTATGCATTCGATTGCCAGATCTGCTGGAACGAATTCTGTGTATGTTACCACTTCATTAAAGCTTAATTCGCATATATGTACTAGCTTAATTATTACATATATGTACTTGTTTAAATATTGTTTCTGAAACCCATTATTTGATTTTAATAAGTTGTACTTGCAAGTTTAATACGGATTGTAATGGATTGATGCTTGAGAATCTAAACCAAGCATGTGCAACTGAACAAGAATTCTCTCCATATCAAATGATTTTATATATATGAAATATTTAAGCTTTTTATTCTTGCCGTCAACAATTTTGAAATGATTTTTATATATTTACCCAACAAGGGGATAGGTCTGTAATCCCTTGCGGACAATAACTCTTAGGGATTAGAACAACAAAGGATGCATTGCATCCCCCGGAGAATTTTACCATTCATATAGTCATCAACCATCTTGAATAAATCATCCTTGAAACAATCCCAAAATTTCTTGATGAAAGCAAAATTGTAGCCATCAGGTCCAAGGCTTTTATCTCCCTTGCAGCTCCAGATTGCAGATTCGATCTCGTCTTCCCGTTAAGTATTGGTTCTCATCTGCAGTTATATATATTCGATTGAAAACAATTCCATCTAGGGTAGGCCTCATCTAGTGGCTTTCTTTAAATTTCCTAGATGACCGGTTTCTGCTTTTTTAGGTAAGTCTGAAAGCTTTAAAAACTAGCCTGATTATGTTGCCTATTATCGTGGGAAAAATACATTTGGTACAATTATAATTGCAATTGTGATATAACGTGGAAACTAACGTACCAAAACCATAACATTAAGATTTCAATTATAGTTGTGAACCTAAATTTGAAGCATCAATTACTTTATATCCTTGGTCAGGTAAAAGACAGACGAGCATACTAGAATTTGAGGATTTACAAGTATACACATCTCACTTTATCTTAAAAATTGATATAATTGAAATTCATAAGTAAAAAAAATGTACACGTTACATGCTCCTATTGCACTATGACAACTCCCAAAGATGTATGTATTCTTTTGTGACATGTGTGTAATTTTTATTTTGGGGAACAATGAAGTTTATTTTTTAAACCCTTGGATCAGAGATTTAGCCATTCTAATTAAATAGGACGCATGCTACAGCCAAAGGGACATCCAAATAGTACTCCAATATATTCTTATTGGTGCATGCTTGTAAGTATGTAACCTAATTAATGAAAATTCACCAATGCAACAGTAAGACCCAATAAATCCCGGATGCATACCCATATACATTGATCAGCAGGGTGTTAAGGACACACAACTTAATTGCTATAGCAAACTGTTTTGGCATACACCATATATGTAAGTTATATCATTATGCTACATGTATAAGCTAAGACTTTTTTTATCAAAAGCTAGCAAGAATACTGAAAAACTAAACCAGTGGGTGCTCTTTTATGTCAAACTAATACTATATGTAACTTCTAAATACTTTCCATTCCATTCCATTCCATTCTCACAATGCATATATACCTGTGTGTGAAGATGGCTTCTCTTGCTGAAAGAGTTCTCCTTCTAAATGGTAAATTAATTACAAGTACCAGTATACCACATCCAGAGACCACGGGCGTCTTCTTGGAGATTCAGCTGTTGACAAAGCTAGACAGAGCCTAAATAGAGATATACGTTTGAAAATGCCACCTACTGAAGCGTGTTTTCAAATGTTTATGGTTTATATATATATCTTAAGTACCTAATAGTGGATGTGGCTTAAGGTCAGCAAAGTAGTTGTATGTATATATAGGTGTTATTCAGTGTTGACTGGGTATGAAATTCTTGTGTCCGAAGCAATATGCATATGGCACGACACAATCATTAGGCGTGTTCTCGTCAACTTAATCATATTCATATATAATGCAGGTGGTCTCAACTGTAGTCAGAAATAGTACTCATGACTTGCACAAAAAGAGAGGAAGTGGGAGAGAGATAAGCATGCTTGTCAGAAGATGACAAGAATTCTCTCATGGATTAGAAGTGGAATGATTTATAAGAAAGTGTTACGTTCCTTTCTGACCCCTCCTTTGACTTGGAGCCCTACTCTATTCTTATTAGAGATTTTCTTCATAACATAATAGAGAGATTAACAGGCCATGCGCATTGATAAGGTGTGTCATTAATAATTGGGGGTCATTCAAAATCTATAGTTTAGATATGTCCAGGACAATGACGATGCAATATAATTCCTCATGCTTTAGCGACCAAGGTAGCAATACTACTAGGAAAACATATTTTTATACTAGAGTGGACACCAAGAGTGAGACTTATATTTTAAAGCTAAAAATGTGGGGTCTTAAAACACCACAATTTTGTCAGTGATTTTTCAAGTTGGTGTTTGAGTCGCTCATCTGTATTAATTCATATGCTTGATGTGCACAGTTGATTCATCAATTTTTGAAAGGGTTCAACGTCCCTTAATACATTCATTCTTCTGTTTATAAAAAGTGCAAAGGGCTTAAAGGAATTAAGAAATAAGTACACGTAAACCAGATTTCACGCACTCTAAATTTGAGAAAGAATTATAAGCTACATGTATATACTATATACCAAATGATGATAGAAAGGTTATGAGGTGACACAACTATACAAGCACCACGATGTGAGAGGTAAATTTTAAGGCGTAGATCAGGTGATCCAATCTCCACACTACTAATATAATAAGATAAAATAAGCAGCACAAAAACCAAGAGCAAGGAGCTGTAATGGTAAAAGGGTACATTATGAATGAAATGTTAGAAAAAACAACCGCATAAAGGGAGACATGTAATTCTCGGATTATCATTGATGTTCACTCTTCTTTTTGTTTGTTTTAAAGAGAGGGGAAAGGCGGAAGAAAAAGACAAAGGAAAAGTAAACTAAATACTCATACTTCCAAGGAACATGATAGTTTATTCATTCAAATTTGGCAATAGTTACTTTCCCTTTAATTAGGTCATAACAAGGTTCATGTGTTTTATTTGATCAATGATTATAGGAACTTAACAAAGTTCAATTTGTAGTATTTTATTTTTCTGATCATATCCATCACATAAATGGTGAATCTTTAAAGGAACTAAATATAATAAATGACACAAATGATACCTTCATAATGGAATTGGAGTGAAAATTCGATCTTACACTATCTCCTTTACCAAAACTAAATATGGATTTTAAGGATAAATGTAAACAACAAATCGAACTTGGAGGATCATAAAAGTATTGTCATATAGATGAGAGATCATGACCAAAACACATAGGATAATTCTATATTCTCAGAAAATATGGTAGTATATCTTACACGGGAGAAAGGTTGGCTGCACAAAATAAGTTCCTCTTTGATGAAAAGAGACCTAACTATACCACACAGACACAGAACAATTGTTGTAGTTCAAGAAAGAGCTTCATTTATTTAATGTGAATATTCTCTCAGAAGTCCAAAGGCAAATGGATGCCTCACTTGTACTCCAGATACACATGTACACGAATGTGGCCATGCAATAGTGATTATACCAAGTATTACTATTTTGCCTCACAAAGACCTGTTGCTTCATCACAGAAACCATCTCGGTCGAGCAATTTCTGTGGGGGAGCACTTAACAGGGGAGATGATGGAGATCCGTAAGCATTTCTTCGTTTGTTCCCGCAACCTAAGCTTGTTCTTGTGCTTACTCCTGTCACAGGATTTGTGCCACTGGCATACTTGCATAGAGCCTACACAATTTAATCAAATGTATCCATAACTAAATACCAATGTCAAGTTTAAGCAGTTAAGTTAAGACAGGTGATCATATTATGACTTTGAAGAGCGGTAGTGTTAATGCTCGAATTTTAACATAAGACTGGAGTCATTGGACACAAGACTCTGTTAAAACTCTACCTTGGGTGCCTTTAAATATCAAACATTACCAGACAAATGCTGTTATATGCCTTGGGAGCAAACGCATTTCAATCACATTGATACATACTCTAAGCAATCAATGGCCATACCTGCTTTTGAGTAAGGTCCAACACAGCATCACTAAAGTCAGCACCTTCAATGATGGCACCTCCAAGGTCACTACGTGTGAGAACTGTTCTTACCAAAATGGCATTCGTGAGATTGGCTTCATTAAGAACCTATAGACCCCAAACAAGAATATCACAGTTAAACAAATAAAAGAAAAACTACTATAGACAATTTATACATAAAATTCATCAATTTGATGTAGTTACCATGCGATCCATCAATGTATCACTAAAATCGGCACCTGAAAAATGTCAACCGAGAATGTCCAATGAAATGAGGCATTGAAAGATGGAAGTCACATATAACAAGAAACACATGAAGTCACGAATGTTTAAGCAGAGAAACTGTACAGTTACATGAGATCAAAAAAGTTACACTTCCTGTCTTAATTTGAAGATCTAAGTCTAAATTATGAGGAAAAAATTCAGTTTTTCTTGGACTCTTGGGTCCAAAAGAATCTATTAGATAATTTGAGTCAACTGTGGATCTAAAACAATCTATCATGTGAATAAATAGAACTTTTTCTTATACTCCTGTAACCCAATAATAGTTAAAATTAAATTTTGTTAACTATATTTCAAAGAGACATTAATTGCCTTTGAGTTGCAGGTATTCAACTAGCAGCAAGCTTTTACCTGTAAAATTTGCCTTGTATGCTACAGCTTTTTCAAGGTATGCACCATTGAAAGTTGAACCACTAAAATCAGATTCTCTCATGTCAGCAGATGTGAAATTGGCTCTTCTGTATCACTCATTTAGAATTATCATGAATAGAGGGAACTAAATTTCCATGCATAACTAAATTCATAGCACAAGACCCAATTGAGAGAAAATATTACCTGAAATTTTCATTGACGTGTACTGCATTCCTGTATATAAATAACCATAAAAAATAAAGGAATGTGATTTTGTTTTACTTTCTCATACCCTTAAGCATTAGAACCATACAATTAGATGAAACAAACCTGAGGTCTGCAGAACCAAATTGAGCAGCAGACCCAATTCCAAATTCACCCCTCAACTCAGCCTCAAACTTATTAAGATCAGCAAGGGCAGATATGTCAGAACTGAAGGCAATAACCGCGGTGGCCAGTGTTGCCGATAACAATTTTCTCCATTTATTGGATTCTGAGTACATTCACAACCTCAGTAATAGATAGTACTATCAATGCTCTTTCTTTCTTCAATAAAAAAAATAATAGTATTAGAAATGTGAAGAATAAAGGAAAGGTACTAACTTTGAGAGTGATCTCTGTGTGAGTTAATTTGGGAGAGTAGTGTAAATGGTTTTGAATGAAAATAAGTAATGTTGGAAGATGAAGATAGTTGGAGAGAACAAATAGAAAGTGAATTAAGTGCCATAAGAAAGGAGAGGTAGAAATGATATAGTTGTAAGAAATAAGAATGAGAAATAAGGAAGAAGTTCAGCAATACATAATCATAGACTCACCAGTGGTAACAAGTGGCACACGTGTTCCACCGTTATCTGTATGTCACATCCATAAGAGGATAACCTGTACCAAAATGGTGTCTTCATTCACGTCGCTACTAATAATAATACGATATGTCATTTAAAAAATATATATTAATGTTCAATTAAAAAACTACGTGTCACCTTAATACTACGTGTTCCCATCTTCATACTACGTGTTCCCATCTTAATACTACGTGTCACCTTCGACTTGGGGATTCTGTATGCAGTACAAAACTATGTACGAATATAAATTAAATGATTTTTTTATTCATTGGGCCTAAGCCCAATAGAATGAATTACACTACAATTAATCTAGAGGGAGAGACAGACTTCCATTACATTAGCAATTCGTACTTGTCTAATCATGAAATGATTTAGGTATTTATGCAAGAAAAAGTCAAATAACATAATTATTTGACCATTCTTCTAATTCTGTAAATCTGTAACATATGTGGATATAATTCCCTGTCTTTATTTCAGTTTGTATTAGTTAATCAAATAACATGTTTATTTCTAAACATGGTACAAAGTTTCTGAAACCAAAGTGAAAGATTCATTCTTTTCCAAAATAATTATATATTTATGTCTCTAATTATTCAACTTTTTTTAAATATTATTTTATTTTCAGGATTTTTATTTTTAATTAAATGATATTTTTTAATTGAAGATAGACATGAATTAGGATAAATTTATTTATTCAATCTAAAATGAGTAAATGTTAAAGTGAATAATATTTATATATGTCAACCCGCTTTCCTATCGTATGTAACGTGTATTCTATACAAAATAAATATTTAATGTCATAATCGTGTTACATATTCTAATTTGCAGTTGAATATATTCCTGATGCATAATGTTAAAAAATTATATATTCAACTGCAAATTAGAATATGTAACACGATTTTGACATTAAATATTTATTTTGTATAGAATACACGTTACATACGATAGGAAAGCGGATTGACAGGCCCGATAGGAATTAAGAAGATAACCAATGACATATTAGGCGAAATTGAAAAGGATAGAAAACTATACTCTCTTTCTCATCTTATTAATGGGAGATCTAGTTTGTAATAAAATTTGTCGAGTTCATCCTCTTTCTGATGTTATTATATTACTAACAACTATATTATTTTACATATTTTCTGATTTATTAGTAATAAAAATTCGTACATGCTAAAAAATCTCATATCTGTATCCTGTATAAGTTATCAGAAGGAGAAGATTATAGATCTTGATGA